CATGTTGCTACATGTTGCTGAATGTTGCTGAATGTTGCTACATGTTGCTGAATGTTGCCACTCAGGATCACGCTTTGACTTTGCGAACAACAAAGAGCAGCTTCGGTCAGGACCAGCTGCTGTTCTGTTGTTGTGGAGTTCCACAGGGCTTCAGTTTAGATCCTCTCCTGTTCTCTGCATGTTCTCTGTATGTTCTCTGTATGTTCTATGTATGTTCTCTGCATGTTCTATGTATGTTCTCTGCATGTTTTCTACACTTAACATGTTCTTGGACTTTGATCTTGAAGAACTTTACACTGTCCCTCAGGATTCAGGATACCAGTCTAAACCAGTCTAAACCAGTCTAAACCAGTCTAAACCAGTCTAAACCAGTCTATACCATGCCCTGTGTGTAGCCCATATTAAATTAGGGTCATTTTAATAATGAAATATAATGAAATAAGATGACATCAGATGAACTGCTTCAGTGAATGAAGTCGTTTCCTGTCTGCACTTTAAAAAACAACCAAATATAAAATCACTGCAGTTTGACGGTTTTTCTTTTTTTGTCTGGTTTTGTTTTTTAATTAAAGAATCTGCACTTAAACTGTTTTATGTGCTCATATTTAAAACACGCGTCGTTTTTTGTTTCCAGCAGCAGCAGAAGATGGATGAAGCTGCATCGCTGAGCTGCTGACGCCACGGCAACCGTCTCCGGCAGCCAGACAGCGTGTGCGTGTTAATGCGTTTGTGTGTGCGTCGCCTGGTGTTTGTGTGGCGTGTGTGCGCCGGCGTCTGTCAAACGAAGCCGCTCGCCGCCACGCATCAGCAAACGCCCGCGGTGTGTGTGTGTGTGTGTTCAGTCTATGTGTGTGTGTGTGTGTTCAGTCTGTGTGTGTGTGTGTGTGTGTGTGTGTGTGTTCAGTCTGTGTGTGTGCGTTCAGTGTGTGTCCTCGCTGCCCTGAGGAAATCTCCGGTGCAGCAGCTGTCAAAACACACAATCCTGCAAACACACACACACACTCTAAATGCACACACAGACACACACACACACGCTGAACACACACACACACACACACACACACACACACATGCAGTACATGTGGAGAATATTATTCTTCCTCCGTAACCTTCAATCACTCGCTGCTCTGCCTCATTTTAATCTGCAGTGAATTGAATTACNGGATTCTGGCAGGAGTGTGTGTGTGTGTGTGCGTGCGTGTGTGTGCGTGTCTGTGTGTGTGTGTGCGTGTGTGTGTGTGTGTGTGTGTGTGTGTGTGTGTGTGTGTCGGTAAGCTGTTCTGGGATTCAGCAGCCAGGCCTCATTAAACCCCTCTGGAGAGAGAGAGGCAGAAAAGAGAGAACAAATACAGGCAGCGAATGGTAATCAGACAGGCTGGCGAGCGCACAACCACACACACACACAGTAACACACACACACACACACACAGTAACACACACACACATCGGCTGCATCTCTTTTCTCTCGCCTGCTTCCGTCTTGTTTTTTCCATCGTTTCGCTAAAATCCGTCTTTATTCTTTATTCTTTGTGTTTTATCGTGAAAATGACTTCCTTCCTTTGATTTGTGCTTCTTCCTGATGTTGGTGAGCACACTGAATGTGTCTCCACGTGTTTTCAGTCTGATTTTAATCTTATGATTCTGACTTTCTAAGACCGACAAGAAACTCAGATGTCTGGCTTGTTAAAGTCTGACTTTTTAAAGTTTGGGTTAGGGTGACATTTTAATCTCACAATTGTGACGTCAAACCTGAACTCCTGCGTTTCCACAGTGGCCCTAAGTCTGGTTTTAAACTCTAATTTAGTCTGACTGTAAACCAGTATTCTGACTTTAATCTCATGATTCTGGTGATTTTAGGACTAACTTTTAAATCAAAAATCTGACTTTTTAAAGTCTGACTGTATTCGCTCATGTTTTTGTCAGAACTCTGAAGCTTCTACTCCCTAAACAGGAGAAGGAAGTGAAGTTCTCATGTGAATAAGTCAGGATTTACGTTGAGTTTTCACATCAACATCTGCATTCGTGTGATTAAGCCCACAGCAGTGTCACACCAGCAGCACACTCAGGTGAACCTCCTACCCTCCAGGAAGGTTTCCATGGCAGCGCTGTGAGTCATGTTGATTGGTCCTCGTCCGGAGTAAGAAGTGAGGGTCGGGTCGGCACCGCAGGAAAGCAGGAAGCGAACCACCTCAACGTGGTCGTTTTCCACGGCGTCGTGGAGCGGCCTGACGACGAAACA